AAAAAAAAAAAAAAAAAAAAAAAAGTCAACGCCGGAAACCCGGCGTTGACCGCCGGTCAACGCCGGAATCCGGCAGAAAAAAAAAGTTTTTGAAAAAAAAAAAATTTGTGAAAAAAAAAAAGTTTTGGGTCAAAATTGAATAATTTGTGAAATTTGGGGTCAAATTGAAGTTAAATTAAGTTAAGGATGAAATTGGAGCATATAAAAGTAAGAGGGGTTATTTTAGTCCTTTACATAAATCTGGACCATGTGTGGACTTATTGGTAAAGGAGAATATTGTCTGGATCTCTTTATGAATAAGTTCCCACTGATGGGCTTATTTGTAATATGCCCATTAGGTTATCTGTCTTTGAAATGGACCACAAAAGTTGAAACGGACTAAAACATTCGCCGTTGGGCCGCGAATCGCGATAAATCGAGTGGGCTGAGAGCTCGCCATATGCCCCCGATACATTACAACATGAGAAGGGAAGGCGCGGTGAGTGGCAAACTGGTTCTATGACCGCTCGATCACGTGATTAATTCAGAGATAACTTCCATAAATAATTCTCCGAGGTATGGTCAAATTACAAAACACGCCTCTTGTTTGGATAATTACAATCACCCCCTCAACTCCTCAATTTTAGTGGAATCTTCGAGATTATATATAAGGAGTATTATCACTTTTCTACCCGTTTTATCCCATTCGAACTCTACATTATGAAGCAAGATGATCATAATATGTGATTTTTAACTTGTCTATATCAGTTTGTGGTGCATCGGAAACTGTATTTTTACACAAAACGAGTACAAACTAGAGCACATTCCACGGAATCTAGATGATTATGTTAAATTTGGCAACATAAGGGTGGATGTGTAAGAAAAAATTATAGTTGAGGGAGGTAGATGTAATTATCCAAACAAGAGGGATTTTTTTTTTTTTAATTTGACCATACCTCAGGAGGTGTTTGTAATATACCCATAAATAAATAACAAAAACATGTAAATTAGAATCAATGATTTAACAATGAGTGTAAATCTCGGACAAAATAAAGAGACTTTAAATTAGAAAATAGCCATAGAATATAGTTCTCTATATAAACAAGTCACGAGTGTATCAAACCCTATTAGGGTCACATTTTTTTGACACAATCAAGAAACACACTTCGCACTTTCTCTCGAATTATCACTTTCTTTTATTCTTTTTTTTTTCTAAATAATCTGATTTCGATTATCCAATAGAAAACAAGATAATTTATGATAACATAATATTAATAAATCGAACAGACAAATTATTAAATAAAGACCAATTATTTAGTTAATTATAACTAATTTCTACAACCAAACGAACCCTTAACGAGTTGTACTGTGTTCGAAAAATCCCAAAGAGTTGGATAAGATAACTGCTCTCACATCACATGTATCTAAATGTTAAAACTCAGTTAGCCTATGATTCTTCTGCACTTCGTTTGTTTGTATAATATTTGTTTTTTTTTAATTTATTTATTCAATTTTATTTTTGGTGATAAAAAAGGGTTCTTCGTAGTTAAGTCTTAAAGAGGAATAAGCAACACGCATGCATCATTGCGTCGTGGCTTTCTCACAGATCGACACGTGTAACCCAATGTCATAACAACCACAAACGCAGTCTCTTGGCCAATTTCAGGCCCACGTGCTTATCCATAAGTATTCTCTGAATTAAATTTGGCCGTATTTGCATATTTATTATTTAGTAGTAATATTTTTACGAATATTTATGCGAAGCAGACAATCTACGATGAAAAATATCTGGATTATAATATAAAAAATAGACTAATATTATATTCGCTCAAAACTGTATAGTTGGTGTTTATACAAGAGTTTTTTGACGAGTCGAGCGCTCGAACTTTTCTTCAGTTATTTGTGAACTACAGAAACTAATACCCAGAAACTAAAGAAACTGACGTTACTTTTTTTCGAGGGTGTAAACTACTTAAAAATATTTTTTAAGGATGCAAAATTGAATTAATCTATAATAAGTAATCTATATTTTTGTATTTACACCGGGTGAATTTGAACCGTTTATTTAATTAAATAACTATCTATTAAGCACACATACACATAGGTGTTTCTGGTTACAATTTACAATTTAAATTCACCGGATGTTAATAATCAAGTGTGACATCTAATTTTCCAAGAACCATGCATATATAGTGCATGTAGATAACTACTAAGTTATATCATATTTTGTATTTCTAGATTTCTTATTATGGAAAAACCAAAAAACAAATTACAAACAACATAACAAAATAGGGGAATTGCAACCACATCCTTAAGCTAAAGTGTAATTACGGAAAAATCCTTATTTTCGAGAAATTACATACAGTCCAATGCAGTTTATAAATGTCTTACATCCACCCCTATAAAAGGGAATCTACAAATTGCAAGGAGGTTAATATAATTATGATAAAAATGAGTTTTTTTTTTTTTGGTAAATAAACTTTATCTTTGTTGATTGTAATTATTTACCCTAATAAAATGCCAAAAAGTAGAAAAATATCCACGGAGGTAAGCAAATCTTTGCTGATTTGGCACCCAACTTTCTAAATCTCCCGGTGCCACGTGTAACGTGTCACCTTCTTCACATTCTTACACGTACTACGCCGCCACCTTGTATAAATTGCACCACCACACTATCCACTTGTCGCTCTCCAACAAAACCTAAAACAAAACCCCCCTCACTTTTCCGGCAACCATGGCCACCCACTATCACCAGACCACCGTACTAATCCCGTACGACGACGGCGGCGGCGGCAGCTCCTCCGGCAATCCCCCACCGCCGCCGAAGACGAAGCCGCCGTCGGTGCGCCGCTCCAGGAAGGGATGCATGCGCGGCAAAGGCGGGCCGGAGAACGCCCTCTGCACCTACCGCGGCGTCCGGCAGCGGACGTGGGGCCGGTGGGTCGCCGAGATCCGCGAGCCCAACCGCGGCGCCAGGGTCTGGCTCGGCACCTTCAGCACCTCCCTCGAGGCGGCGCAGGCCTACGACGACGCCGCCCGCCGCCTGTACGGCCCCTTCGCGAAGCTCAATCTCGTAACCCCTGACTCCGCCGGCGGCGGCGGAGGCGGAGAAGGAAGATGTGAAGTACTCCCGCCGGAGGCCGGCGGTTTTCCAGTAGTAGTACCGGACGAGGCGGAGCATCATCAGTTGTTTAATGAGAAGAATGAGGTGTCGTCGTCCGTTCTGGAAGAAGCTAACAGCATATGGGATATTCCGGCGGCGCCGACGCTGCTGGAAGAGACGAAACAGGATCTTCTGAACTGGCCGGAATATTCTCTGGAAGATTCCATTCAATATGATTACACGAGTAACTGGAATGATTATGATCAGGTCCAGTGGACCTTCTAGATTGTTCCTTCTTGCCATATTTTATAGCTTTTCTTTTTTTCTTTTTTTCTTTTCAGCTTTTAGAGAATTAAGCTGCATCACTTGAGTAGTATTTTACCTTTCTACCCCTTTGTTTGCTCTTATATTACACTTGGTACTTTATTTTGTATAATATATATATATTTATCACTAGTTGGAAGAAAACAAAGTTCGGATTTTAATTTGTGTGTGTGAATTACTAATTAATTAGATGTTCTTGTTATATATGTGTTTTACTTTGTTGGTCTTTAATTCTTCCTCTTCTAGCTAACTAAGATTAATCAGAAATCATTAAAAATATATTATAATTTTGATGGAAAATTAGATGCACCTAATTATTTACACTGAACAAATTTAATTCGTAGATCTACACATAATCAAATCTGATGTAGTATCTTTAACTTTTCCCAATTTTGATCTATTAGCGTAATAATAATTACAAAATAAATAAATAAATAATATATACACAATTGGTGAGATGTTGAGTTTAAGTATGCACTTTTGCCAATTGGAAGTATGTAAAGATTGCATGCATATCCACATCAATTATTAAATTATTTAATATTTGTCACGCATTTGCTATATATGCTAAATCACAAGAAACAACTTAAATATATATTATTATCTTTATCAAAACAAAAGGGAGCACACAGAGGGGCTGCTATATATAGAATTAAGGGCGTTCGTTCCGTAAAATTGTACCGTACCGCTTTCGAATTTAGTAAAATTACAAAATTTCGTTACGCCAAAATTTCATATCGTTTTACCAAAAAATTGAATACCAGACCAAATTACTGGTTTTGGTATTTGGCACATACCAAGTTTTAGTTCGATTCGGTTAGGTTCGGTCCGTTTATTGGTCCAAATCCAGACGGGCTGCAACCATTAGAAAAAATGGGCCTGACCCAGTACGTGGAGAGTAGGCTAATTTAAAAAGTTTATTTATTTTTCTTTCTTTTTTGCAATTATCTATAAGCCTGAGGACCAACTTATCAACAAAAAGTCCATAAAAAAGGGTATTTTACCAACAATGGAAAAAATAAATTTCATTCATCAAACCTGTTTCACCCTTAATGCAAAAAATGTCCCCGAACTCTAAATTTTACACCAATTTCACCCCTCAAAACCTAATTTCACTATGATTTCATCCACTTATAATATAATTTTTTTTTTTTGTTTCTTTTTTGTGTTGTGAAAACAGTAGTATTAAATTATTTTTACAGTAATATATAAATAAACACAACATTGTCGGAAAAAAAAATTGTAATGCTAATGTGTTATTGGTCAATACGGTAATATTACTGTATTTCACCGGTCAACAGAATAAAAGAGGAAACAAATTAAAATTAAAAAAATGCTGATATTACTCTATTGACTACTATTGACATTATTGATTATTGTATTATCCGATCGACGAAGCAAAAATAATTAAATAAATATTAATAATTTACTAAGCCAACGGGATCTCTTGTCGAAAAAACTTGAATATTATCATCCAAGAAGTTTTTGAAATTAAATTATACTATTTGTTCGATTGTTTATTGCCATAGTAATTAATGACATTTTCTTTTTGGGGCTAAGAAATAAAGTGGTTTCCATTATGGTTGAATCATACAATGTTAAAGTACTTGTACACTACTAACACTGATTAATTAAATGTAGTCCTCGTTTGGTTAGGGAGATTAACCGTTATCAACTAAATAATTGAACTGCGTTTGATGTTTGATAAACCCAATAACTTTTCGGGTCAATCCAGAAATATTAATTATGTTATTGTTTCTTATCTTGCGTTTTAGTGATTTTTTTTTGTTGAACATCCCGAGGCCCGATAAAACAATTGGATTTTAAATAGATTCTTTAATCTTATCTTGACAAACAAACGAGATCCTACTAGTTTGATTGAACAAGATATATAAATGGCAAAGTATACATAGAAAGGTCAACAATATTCAAAACCAACAAGTACACACAAATAATACAGCACTAATTGAACCCCATCAATCACACATAAATAACTGCATGTCAATAGCCATTTGACTGATTTTTAATTACTAGGTCTTTTGTGACAATTATTAACTTGTTGCACTAATTGCACCACTTCATTAGTTGGAAAATTGTGCATATAAAAATACATAGAGATAGTGCCATACATCTCTCACTACTTCAAGCATAACTATCTAACTCCAAGCAAAAAAAGAAAGAAAAAAAAATCTTAGTATCCCAAAAGAGAGTATTATACTAATTAGATATATTTTTTTTTTGGTTGTGTGAAAATGACTAATATAGTGAAAATCTCAATAGGTTTTGCTATTTTTGGTCTAATCTCGACGATAATGGAAACTCACGCAGAAGCGAGAGCGTTCTTTGTGTTCGGAGACTCGTTGGTCGACAACGGCAACAACAACTACTTAGTCACCACGGCTAGGGCGGATGCTTATCCATACGGCATAGACTACCCCTCTCACCAAGCCACCGGCCGTTTCTCTAACGGACTTAATATCCCCGATATTATCAGTAAGTTTACACTTTTTTAGGATAAATTACAACTGCCCTAGCTCCGAGTTAGGTCTATTTATCAAAAGAACCCCTCATTTTTCCATAATTACATCCATGCCCTGTAATTTGTAGATTTCTTACAATAAAACCCTACTTTTTTAGGGGGTGGATGTCAGAAATTTACAAATTGCAGTGAACTAGATGTAATTTCTCAAAAAGAAGGGTGTTTTTTTTATAATTACACTTTACCTGAAGGAGTTGTTTGTAATTTACTCTTTTTTATATATTCCCTATTTTGTGAAATTTAATCTAATTTAAAAGTATATATTAGTGCCATGCATGCACAAAATTAAGTTGAGAACATATAAATTGTTAAAAATATTTAATGTTATTATTATAATTATTTATTAATTATTAGGTGAGAGTATGGGTTGGGAACCCACATTACCATACTTGAGCCCACAACTTGTGGAGCAGAAACTTCTTATTGGTGCTAACTTTGCTTCTGCTGGTGTTGGTGTACTTAATGATACTGGGATTCAATTTGTAAGTATTTTTATGAATATTATTAGCTATATATTTTATTAATTAATTAATAATGATTGGAGGTGGAAATTGGAACGGAACTATTAAATTCCGTCAATTTTGATCCGAAAATTCCGTGTTAACAATGTCTTTTTTTTTTTTTTTTTTTTTTTTCATTTAATTTTCCCAAAAACATTGCGGTCGCAATTAGAGTATGTATGAGATTCCGATTATCGATCTGATTTCAAGTTTCTAAATTTACTAGTTTTTTTTTTGCAAAAAATGACATGTGTAATATTTTATAATATTATTATATTATAAAAGGGAGTACAGTTTCCAATTTCTGTTGATTCCGATCCGAAATAATTCAAATTTTGGAACAAGTATTTTCTCATTCAACTTTTCTGGTATTTTTTTTGAAATGGAATTGAAATTATTTTTTTAGACACCCTCAAAATAAAATAAAAAAACAATATAAAAACAATTTATTTAATTTGTTGTGGTGCAGGTTAATATAATAAGGATATATCAACAGCTGAATTATTTTGAGGAATACAAGCAAAGAGTGAGTGAACTCATTGGAGAAGATGAAACTCAGAAACTTGTGAAAGAATCTTTGGTTCTTATTACTTTGGGTGGAAATGATTTTGTCAATAATTACTTTTTAGTCCCTTACTCCGCAAGATCTCGACAGTACTCCCTCCCTAAATATGTGCCCTTTGTCATTTCTGAATACAAGAAAGTTTTAAAGGTTAATCTCTCTCTCTCTCTCTCTCTCTCTCTCTCTCTCTCTCTCTCTCTCTCTCTCTCTCTCTCTCTCTCTCTCTCTCTCTCTCTCTCTCTCTCTCTCTCTCTCTCTCTCTCCCCTGAACTTAGGCTAAATAACGAAAAACACCTCCACCTATTCGTAATTACAAAAAACACCCCGAGGTTTGTTTTGTGACTTTTCATTTTTTTTTTTTAATTCCAGTGACTCGACTTTACACAAATTCAGATATTTTCTTTTATTTATCACCTATTTAACAGAAGGTATAATAGACTATACGCATTTTCTGTTAAAAAACTCGATCAATGGTTAATCACAGGGGGGTTTTGGTTATTACGGACATGTGGGAGTGTTTTTCATTATTTAGCCTAAGTTCAGGGGGTTTTTCGTAATTTACCCTTTATTTTAATTTTTTTTTAATTTATTTATCGATAAAAAAAAAATGCATGCAGAGGCTGTACAAACTTGGATTCCGCCGAGTTATAGTGACGGGAACGGGGCCGCTAGGGTGTGTGCCGGCCGAATTAGCGCAACACAGTACGGACGGCGAATGCGCGAAAGAACTGCAGAAGGCTGCATCACTCTTTAACCCTCAACTGGATAAAATGCTTAAACAACTTAACCATGGTTTAGGCAAAGATGTTTTCATTGCAGCTAATACTAATCTCATGCACATGGACTTCATTGCCAATCCTACACGTTTTGGTACATTCCTCTACTTCTTTTTTTTTTTTACAATGTTTTATTTAATTTATTTATTTGTTTTATTAAAAGATTCGGATCCAATCGACTGAGTTGATTAGTACGAGTCACAATTGCCGGATTACATTATCAGGGCCGGTCCTGAAATTTTAGTAACTTAAGGCCTCGTTTGGTTAGTAAGATAAGATTAGCCAAGATAAGCCATGATACTATAAATATTTGCAGACCGACCCGATAAATTATCAGGGATGCCAAAAATCAAGCAAAGTCCAATTATTTAGTTAACCATGACTAATTTTTCCAACCAAACAATGCCTAAACTGTGTTCTCTATATGGTGAATTAGATAGATTAAAGATTATTACATTGAAAAATTAAATTAGTGGTTAACAAAATTTAAATTTTGTATTATGTGCACAGGATTTGTAACATCGAAGATAGCTTGTTGTGGACAAGGACCGTATAACGGGTTGGGCCTTTGCACTCCGCTATCGAATTTGTGCCCAAATCGGGATCTATACGCGTTTTGGGATCCGTTTCATCCATCTGAAAAGGCGAATCGAATGATAGTCCAACAGATGTTGACCGGGTCAAATCTTTATATGCACCCGATGAACCTTAGCACAATCATGGCTATGGATTCAAGGGCTTAAAAGCTCAAATCCAGTGAAGAGCTTCTCTATGCAGGAATCTAAGCCCAAGTCAAGAGTTTATTTACCTTTTTTAATTGCAAAATTTGTTGAATTCCCAAATTGTATTTTCTTTTGTGTGTCTTAAAATATTTGTAGTCATGTGGTGATGATGTCTTGTGTCTTTGTAAGGATCTAATTGATCAATTTCATCAATAAAATAATAAATAAAACTTATAGTTGCTCTTATAATTAATTTATACATATTTTTTTTTCCTATAGTGTACTTATTGCAAAAAATTAGAATAATTAAGTAGCTCATATATCATTTTCATGAGTATTATTATATATTATATAGTTAATTGCAACGTGAAGACAGTACGTATCGTGTCTATCCAGTATTTCACAATTCACACACACTAGACGTGAATTCTAGGTCAAGAAAAAACCCAATTTAACCTAAAAATAAATTGAGCAAAATAAACTAAATAATCATACAATTTAAAATTTCTAATGACATAACTTTAACACACTTTATATGTTTAAAATAAGCTATTCCATTAGAATATTTCATATAAATAAACTTATAATTAATGTATACTTTTTCGAATACTATTATTTCTAAATTGACAGCTTGAAGTCGATTTTTCAAGACTATAACATAAATAATCAAATGTCACAGTTTTCTCAAAAGTTTTTACAAACACCGGCTTAGCTTACGTACTTTACAAGTTTCCTACCACAATTTACACGAATTATCAAAACATAATAGTGATAGAGTATATATAATAACAAATTTTATAACCTCAAGAAATAACTTGAAATATTCTTCTAAAAAAATGGTAAATTACGGTCACCCCTGAGATAAGGTTAAATTATGAAAAAACCCCTCATAATTGGATAATTACAATTACTCCTCAACTATGAATATTCTTATATATACATCCATCCTTGTGGTATTAAATTTAGTGAATATTTTAGATTGTGTGGAATATTCTCCAGTTTGCACTACTAGAAAAACGCGTTTTAGCAACGTCCCTTAACAACGGACTACAAATCCGTTTCTACCATCGCTGTTCAGCAACGGAGGTGGCAACAGAAGACGAATTCGTCCTTTTACTTGTGAAAGTTCATCGATTGCAACGGCTTCTAGCGACGCACATCATATCTGTTGCAAAAGTTAAATTTAGCGTTAGCTTTAGCCATAAAAATAAAGGTCGTTGCTATCATATTTTGTTTTGTCACAACTGTTAGCGATGGATACAAAGTCCGTGTCAAACATAAATATTTACCAACATCTCTAGAAACGGAAGGTTGAGCCATCGCAAACGTAATTAATTAGCAACAATGGTAGTAATGGAAAATAAATCCGTTTCCAAATTAAATAATTTGCTATAGATTTAGCAATGAACATCATAATCGTTACTACAACAAATATATTAGAAACCAAACTAAGCTACGAACATCATAGTTGTTACTAACATAAATTTTAACAAATAACTTGGCGACGAACAACATACAAATGCTAATGTTATTTTTTATCAATTTGAATAAAATATGCAAATAATAATAATAATAATAATAATAATAATAATAATAATAATAATAATAATAATACCACGTGTAGTCTACTTTTAAGAGATTGAATTAAACTTGTAACAATACTTATATTTTCTAAGCTTCATTGATTTATTTTTATATATACGTGTAGCATACTTATTAGTATTTTATGTGATAGAAAAGAATTTCTTTATTATTATTTTATTGATTATTTTAGTCCTACGCATTAATTAGCTAATTGCATAAAATAAAAAACCTTTTTCCGCCTCTAGAATTAGAGAGAAACAACGGCAATTAGAGGAGAGAAACAGAGGCTGACGGCAACCACCACCACAACCATCTCTGCCTACACGTCAGGCGTACAAAGAACTCCACAGAATAAGGTAATCTGAATCTCTCCTTCACTATCTCACCCGTCCCCCACTCGTTCCCATCCGTTTCGTATTAAACCCCTGAGTTATAAGTTAGGGTTTTAAAGTTCTGTTTTGAAATTTAATTAGGGGTTAAAGGATAATTGATGCTTGTTTAAGTCATATTCATAGCGTAGTTTGGAGAGGAATTCTAGATTAAACTCTTAGTTAAGATGCCTATATTGTATAGAGTCATTGTTGAACATGGATGTCTCAATCTCTTGTGTTCCTGAATTATATTTCTATGGAAAAACTTAAATTTTACGAGTTGCTGAATTGAATTAGAAGTTTGAGAATTTTACTAGGTTTTTTGTCGAGGCTACTGATTCTCCTTTCTCGTCTGACCAAGAACCTGATAATGATAGCTTGAACGACACAAATAAAACAAATTTAGTGTTTAGTTGCTTATGTGTTTTGATTGTTGATGGTATATATGTTTTGATTGCTGACAATATATGCTAGATATTATGATATCACGGTCGCTAGCTTATTATTCTATATAATTTTATGTTTTAATTCTGCTCGTTTCACTTATTTTCTTCTTCATTAAAGGAAATTTATTATAATTCTAGACAACTTGGTGAAATATCGAATTTGTTTTTACGAGGATGTCATAAATACCATCTCATGATTTCTTTTTTGAATTATGTGATGTTATTCATTTTATAGCATTCACACTTTATTTGGATGATTAACTCATTAATGATTTCGTGATTCTGGCATTTTTGTTTCGAGTAGAGGTTCCTAATATATTTTACCAATATCGCTCATCCCTGCAATGTTATTATTATTATTTATTACTAATAGTTAATATTTGTAGAAACTCTATTATTGGTCTAGTGAGGATCACCAGGCAGTAAGAAGACTTTTTGAACAAAAAGGAAGCACGAGCTTGAGCAATAGTTTGTATAAAGCCAGGAAATAATTCAGTGATAAAAAAATAACACCAAAGTGGATCAATCGAAATCATTGGGATGAATTATTGGCTTATTGGAATAGCAACAAGTTTAAGGACAAGTCATAAACTAATGCTAATAATAGAAAAAATGGTCCGAATGGTTCAGGTTCATCGCTGCATACATGAGGATCAATTCCAATATCAGAATATAAAAGAAGATATGTAAGTATTCTTCCCTTTTTTTATTTGTATTTTTTCTACAATTTAATTATATAAACTGCATTTAATCATTATGTTTATTTTAGGTGAAAGGAAATGGGAAAGAACCTAGTGCCTCCGAGTTATTCCCGATGACTCATAAGACAAAAGAAAATAAAGATTGGGTTGACAAGAAGTCGTAATTGATATGGGTAAGCATCTCATTCCATTAACATAATACTCTTGCATGTTTTTTTTATTCAACCCAAGGTTGGATTTGAATATGAATCTGAGTTGATTGGAGTACAAGATTTTTTATTCAATGCATGATTAAGCCTTTTATTTAGATGGATTATTGAAATGTTTATGTATGTGTTTATCATCTCAACTTATTTGGTATTCCTGAGTTTTATGCATTCTGACTTGTATACATTATGAGGTGTTATGATACAATAACTAAATTCGTTTATGTATGTATATATTGTGGGATTTTATGTCATGTATATTTATTATTGAATTTGTGTTGTATCACGAAAAAATTAAGAATAGCATGAAGAAACGTCTTGTAGATAACAGGTCTGAGACACATGATAACGAAAATGATGATGCAACAATAGATGATGAAGATGGGAAAGAAGATGACAGTGGAGATGAGGCCTTCATGACAACGATATCTACTCTATCCAAAGAACTAGTTGACAATGTTTGGCTCGAGGTAACTGGAGGACCAACAAAAGGAAGAATTTATGGCGTCGGGTCCGAGTCTTCTAACATTTTGCACGGAGTTAACCATATATATAATGCTCCAACATGTTCTTCATCAGCACCACCCAATTCTTCTCAAAGCTTCGTCAATTCTCCTATATTTCAAGAAGCAGTTAATCGAGCTATAGAAGAGCTATAGAAGACAAATTTGAACAATTGGAAGCGGCTTTTGAAGAAAAATTGCAAGCTAGGATTGAGGCAGCCACTCAAGCAATGAACCGAAGTCAATGACAAGGATCTGCTAGAGATATTCGGGTCAGAATAATAATTATAGATTGAATCACAATTATAGGATGAAATTTTATTTAATTTTACGGGGCTAGTATTCGCAAGTTTATGTTGATATTCTTCAGGTTTTAGTTTGGTTTTGTGAATCGGATTGTAGTTGATCTCATTAGTATTCACTATGTTGTTTCTTTTGTGAACATGTTTATGATGATATTATTGCGGTGTTAATTAGTATGGTTTTTGTGATTCAGATTTTAGCCTAGCTCGTTATTATTACAATGTTTTTTCTTTTGCAATTTTTTTTAAATACATGTGTAAATTTATTGATAAAAAAAAATAAATTAAAATGGGTAAAAAAACACATTTAAAAAGGTTATTTTAAAATATATTCTGCAATGGATTTAGCCACGGATATTCGTATATAAATTTAGTAATATTTGCTAATATATTGCAACAAATTTAGCTACAGATTTAGAAACCAATTGTTCGAATTTTTGAAACAAGATGATAATAAGATGTGTCTCTTGACTTGTAAATATTAGATTGTGGATCATCAGAAACTTCATTTTTGCACAAAACGAGTACAAACTAGCTTAGAGAACATCCCACGAAATCTAGAAAATGTTGTTGAATTTAACACCATAAGAGAGGACGTGTAAGAAGACTCATAGTTGAGGAGGTTGATTGTAATTACCCAAACAAAAGGGAGTTTTTTTTCGTAATTTAACCTTAGCTCAGGGGGCGGCTGTAATTTACCCCAAAATAATAACATAGAAAAGAGAAAAAAGAAAAGCATTCTAATTAAGGAGTGACTGAGAAGAAAAGAAATCAAAATGGGAGTTGGATTATTTGGAGGAGAATTAATGGGTAAGATTGTGTAGGTGGCAGATCAAATATAATTGCAATAAAGAAGATTGATGACTGGTAGGTTTCATTACTTAATGATTTATACTAATACTTAATTAAAATCATACCCTTCTTCAATTTTTCTTTTAATTTCACTCTTAATTTCTCTCAATCTATTTTTGGTAATTTAATTCATTGCGTGTGTCTCTATAATCGCATGGCATGTGTGTGAGTGTGTGTGTGTGTGTGTGAGAGAGAGAGAGAGAGAGAGACTACTACTATTAACATTTAACACCACACCCTTGTGTGTGTGTGTGCGCATGTGTGAGTGTGTGAGAGAGAAAGAGAGATCTGTATATATATATATATATATATATATATATATATATATAGAGAGAGAGAGAGAGAGAGAGAGAGAGAGAGAGAGGGGTCAATTTTAAGAGGGGTTTTTTGGTGTGTATTTTTTGGTTTCTGGGGTGGTGAATGAAATAATGAGAAGAGTTATGGCCCGTACAAAGAAAAGAGGGTTATTTCCATTTACTACTGTTTCAGTTGTGCCGTTAGTAGTAGTGTTTGTTGTTGTCATTTTGTCGAACAGATGTACGGCCGCCATTGATTCCTTAAACTACACGAAGATGTACAACAGACAAGTTAGCAGCTTGAGACTAGACCGGATTCACCGACATCTGGACAAGATCAACAAGCCTCCTCTCTTCACCATTCAGGTACACACACACACGTACACGTGTTGGTGTGTGTTTTTTTTCTTCAAATATATTTTTATATTTTTTATATAATATTTGCAGAGCCCAGATGGAGATATAATAGATTGTGTTCATAAAAGAAAACAGCCAGCTATGGATCATCCTCTTTTGAAGAATCACAAGATCCGGGTACCAACTTATTTACCAATATGCCATTCCCATGCATTTATTTCACACACACACACACACCGAAAATAACAGGTTAGAAATTTAAAGCAGGACCCTTCAATTTAATTGAGGTGGGAAAAAAGAAATACATATATATGGATTTATATTTTAGGTAAGATTACTTTTAATTAAATCAGAAATTGATTAATTAATCAATTAATTAATGGCCGGCATTAGAGAGTTCCACCGGGGCTGCCGAGGTCAACGCAAATGGGTCAAAGTAGAACGAACAGCAGCACAACAAGTGTAGATGGATGGAAAGGAGTGTGGCAGACGTGGCATCAAAACGGGCAGCTCTGCCCGAAGGGCACCCTGCCCGTTAGGCGCACCACCGTGCATGATGTGCTTAGGGCTAAATCTCTCTTTTATTTTGGCAAGAAGCAATTTCCCAATAGCTTGCCTTTTTCGCCAACCCGACGGAGTGGGGCCCGCCCCGATAGCGATATCGATTCCGATCCACCAGATCTTTTGAGCGGCAACAACGGCCACGAGGTATATATATTTTATGTATGTATCTGTATTGATCCTCGTCTACTTTCGAAACGTGGTTTTTAAATCGAATTGAAACCGTTATGCTGAATGTAAGAATCACGAGTAAATTACACGTACACCCCTAAGGTATGCT